TTTTTGTGTTTAATCAATAATTTATTTGTGCTTCAGCTTGCATATAAATAAATTCCCATTTACGTGCAAATAATTTTTGAAGTCGTGCTAAATTTTCAGCTTCATAATCAGCTAATTCTAATCGAGTTTTATTTTGCATTGTTCGTTTACATAAATATACAGCTAAATATCAAATAGAAATTTTTCTTGAAAATTTATAGGATAAAAAAAAAGAAAAATTTCTATTACCATAATCAATATTATCTGCTTCAACATGATTTGAAGGCCAAAAATAAGGCGTCTAGAGAGAAATAAAAATAAAAATCAACATTTTAAATTCATAAAAACAATAATTTCTACTTGAAAACGATAAAAAGTTCCATCATTTTTCACAGTTAAAACATGATCTTCAATAGGAAGAATCTAAATGATAGAAAAAAAAAGAAAACGAATCATTAATTTGTTTATTAGATAGACAATCTTACATAGCCATGTGATGATATAAGATTAGCCAAATGAAGAGCTTCAGCTAAATAAATTATTGATTAAACACAAAAAACAAAAAAATAAGTTTGTCAGTAGACTTCTTTAGGGCTAAAATATGGAACTGATATATGTTCTTTAGCCTCATTATACTAATAAGAAAAATACGTTAATCCATTTGGCACTAGCGTATTAAAACCTATCGGACTCAAAAATTGTCGAGTGTGCATTCCAATTCGAAGAATTTCGAATTCAATCGAATCATACTTTAATGTTTTCAAAGAAACTTTCTAATTGAAATTAAATTATCATCCCGAAGACACAACACATATTTCTCAGATGACTAGAACCCATCAAATCCAGAATCAATCTGACAGACTCTTTTCATATGTTTTTAATTAATCCCTCGAATTATGCGCTAGTTAAGCTTGATTCTTTATTTGAATCATCTAAAAGCATTTTAGGCTAATTTATAAATTTTCTCAAAGAAGAGTTCGAACTTCAAAAATACTCATGATTATATAATAGATGTATTTCAATAAATAAGATTTCAAATATGTATGGTAGATAAAGAAAAGTAACGATTAGATTCTAATAAAAAGTTTGCAGTAAAAGAAATGAAATATTGACATATCACAAACTTTTAACGAAACAAAATCTCAAGATCTTGAATGATCAATATATTCAGTAATAATAATGATCATACTAATTTTAGAAATTCTTAGTTATTATAATCTATATTAAAGTTTAGAAACATTGACATTGATTATTTGCCAAAGTTATAACTTGTTTAGTTCACTCATATTTATATTGATCGTATGATCACTGTGATTGATCAATAAATTCCTGTTTATCATTTTTGAAATATATATCTACACTAAAATTAATAGCTACATTATTTACAAGGTTGTGTGGTGTGGTCGTGTGTGTGGGTGTGGGGTGCGGGTGTGGGTGTGGTTGTGTGTGTGGGTG